TCTGGGTTCTGACAGCAGCTTGACGCAGTTGTGTGAATGCACGGGGCTCAATGCCGCCTTTTGCTGAAAGCTAAATGAGATGGTAGGTAGACACTTGGGGGTGGTAATGGGCACAGAGGAGACCAGTCATCAGTCAGCACTATGGACACGGCCTGAGCTTTCTTTGAGCCTTATTAAACACACGTTGCCTGTAGCTGGCCTCCAGGCATTAAAATTGCATGGGGCTAGGGCTCTGTTCTCTCGTTTGCCCATCCATCAGTCTTGGTGACCATGGGAAATGTTATCTGTAAATGACTGTTTTTTTCCCTAGGTCATTGATTTAAAAATGTGACATGTCATATTGCCCCAGGTTCCCTGGGGAACTGCATTAGTAAAATGTCTCTTTGGGGCTGGCTCCCCGGGCACAGGCTGTTAGACTCGGAACGTGCTGATGGGCTGGACGTGGAGGTGGACGTGGCCGCTCCGGCTCCGGCTGCACGGCCGGCGTTACTGCTCTGCTGGGACCGGGGCACTGGGGAAGTAATGGGCCCTAATGGCCCCAAACTTGGGGGGAACTGCTGCTCAGTCAACGATCCTCGCTGCTGATAATTTACCAGGCAAGGACATCACTTCAGTCACAGGTATTGACACGCTGCCATGTCAGGCCCCTGGTGCCTTGGCAGGCGTCATGATTGATTTGTGATTGATGAAGCAGGGGAAGAAGGGGCTCGAGCTCGGCTGTCGAAAGGTCACGCGATTTGATGAATCTCAGCAGCGAACGTGTTTGCTTTCCTGTGCTGCGGCGGTGAGGAGGGTGAAGAAGTCAACCCCAGCACAGTGTTTCTTCTGATTGAAAACCACTCGAAGTGGTTTTGAATCCTAGGATATGGAAATAGGGGAAATACAAATGAAAATGTTGGAAAGACGGAAAGTAACTCCGTGTTTTTCAACAGTAATGTTGTAAGGGAGGATGAAAGGGGACACGTTAGCGATCCTGAGAAGTGAATAACTTCATGCATTTGAGGAAGATACTAGACTATCCAATGTGGTGTTAAGTTAAATATCTTCAGGATCCAGTATTTGGTATGTGTGCAAGCACAAAAATTACTAATAGGACACAGTGCTTCACATTGAGTGATTTTGTTAATTTATATGAAATTTTGCATTTTTAAATGGTGTTTTCACAGAATATAACATAAATATTTTAGTTGCTCTTTTGGAATTGACGACATGTTGCAATTTGCACCTCCAAGGATGTATTAAGGTATCTTTTCTGGCACCGCAGCTTAGAAGATGTCCAAGACTTCATTCTAGGTGAACAGCTAGAGAAAAATAAATCTAAGCAATGAAACCAACTGAAGTTTCCAATGGAAAGAATGGAGAAGCAAGAACTTTGCTTTGGGTATCCAGCTGTTTGCATGGAAGCACAGGGTGTGTGCCCTAGCCTAGGTGACCGTGCAGCTGGGGTCACCAGACTAAGGATGGCCGCGAGAAGGGGCAAGGCAGTTTCATAAACCCTTTGGGGCTCTGAACCTCTGGGCTGGCAAGCACACACAACCGGCATCTGGTGCTTTTGGAAGGGAAAATACACTGTGCTTTTTCTTACTAACCTGCTTTTTGTGTGTGTGCTGTACATGCAATTTGCGTATATTAGATAGTTACCTTGCAAATATATTAGGAGGTTATTGTTGAGGTTGACGAATCACACACTCACAAGCTAGGAAATGCCAGAATGAAGACTGCCAGTGGGGGAACACAGAGCATGACTGGAGAATTAAAAAACATATATGCCTTCGGAGACAAAATAATTTGCTACCAACAGCCATAATTCTGGAATTTCCTTGACCTTTCGTTAGAGAACTTGTGAGTTAAAATTATTATTATTATTTTTTTTTAGTAGTTGCATCCAAAAGTTCCTAGAAATGCACCATTCTGTTTTGAGAATGACTGACTAGCCTTAAAAAAATGCTTATTTTCGTGGTAAATGTGTTGTGCAGAACATGTAATTTAGTTCATATATATGACAGATACATCACTAAGCAGCCTTTGAAATCAAGATGAAAAGGCCTAATAAAAATATCAGTCAGACTGGGCTTTTGAGTGCAGTGTAATGTCAGATTTGATTAAAGTCTCTGATAGGAAATTAAGCGACGCGCGCGCTGCCCCCGCTGCAAGGTTACCTTCCCCCCAGCTCCTTCTGCCTCCAAACTCAACAGATGTCCCTGCCCGGTGCCTCATTTATTTTGTTTGGCAAGAGGAGCCGAGTTTCCAATACAAAGTGCTTGGCTGTCAATATTTACGCTCCCAGCCACGTCGATTATAGTGCCCTTCCTTCTCTAACATGTTTTAAAAGTGTTCTTTCTTTCCCTATCTACTGAGTTGAAATAGGTACTGAATTCTCTTTACCAAATACTGGTTATATGCTTTGAATTTAAGGTCTTTTGGCTGGTGGTTAGTTGCAATTTTTGCAGTAGCTTTTGCATGGAATGATCGATTCCTGTGGTGTTAACTGACTGCATAGGGATAGAAGCTGGGAAGAGGAGAGGAGGAGATGTCTTCAAGGAATAAAAATATGAAAGCATAAGAACAGGTTTGCAGACATCTTGAAAAATTTGCTTCCACTAAATGTATTTTACAAAAGCAGTAGTAGGAGTTCTACAGTCCCTTTAATGGTCACCCTAGGAATAGCACTTGTGATTTATAGTGCTTGGGGATTTATTTGATTTTTAATGTTGCATTTATCCGGCCCAGTGAACAATGAACTCCAGATGGGTTTTTGTTCACTCAATTTACATCCACACACTTTAAATCCCATCCTGGTAATTAGCCATGGATAGTCAGGTCCCCACCACTTAAACCGAGCTGAGTGCTAGTCTGCTTAAGTGGCCTGTGCGTGTTCGAGGCCCTTGATTAGGCAGGATCCAAGGGAGCCCGTGCCCAAGTTTGGTGTTAGCCCTGCAAAAAAACATGTGGTGGTTTGTGTGGCCAGAGGGACTGAGTGAGAGGCGAAAGGGGAGGCTGCGGTGGGCAGGGAGCTCCTGCAGCGCGGCGGGCAGCAGCCGCCGGCCCCGAAGCCAACACGGCAGCGCTGAGCACAGGCAGCCACGCCGAGTGGCCAAGGGGAGGAACAGAGGTGCCAGAGGTGATCTGCAAAGCAGCCCCGAGCGAGAGGAGGCTTCTTGGGACAGGTGCTGGTGCTCTTTGGGATTTTCCACCTTGGGCGAAGCTGGAAGTGCTGGATTCCACCTCAGCGAGGCAAGGCCCCCTCCTGTCACCTCTGCAGGTCCAACCCGCTTCTTAGGCACTGCTAGACTGTTAATAACATTCATTGCCATTGCTTTACAACTAGAACTGACTAGTTGAACTGCTAATCTTCTATAGAAAACTGTAGGTTTTCTATGACTTGGGGAAGTGCTTGGGTAGAGCTGATGGTTGAGCGGAGCTCAGAATTCACCAGAACCTGGTTGCAAGGAGGTGATGTGTGTTTGTGGGGTGAGGCATGAGGGTAGGTACTGCAGTGCCTGCGGCGGTTCCACTTGTGTAAAAACTTCCACTTGTGTTTCCAGCTTCGATTCAGTTAAGCTAAAATGATGTTTATGCCTTATTTAGGTGACTTTGACCAGTAGTTCTGTTTGCAGTCTTGCCTCTCAGCCCCATCTTTGGTAGAGCGCATAGACAGACTGCCAAGATGAGAGGCCTGTTGCATTTTTGTTGTTGTTTCCAGTCTGAGATCACTGGAACATGGTTGATGAGTTGTTTTAAATATTCATTAAGATGAAAAAAAAAAAGCTTATAACTAAAGCTGTCCTATAGCCTCCCCAAAGTGGATGGTCTTATTTATCTGGAAACAACTGCTGAAATGATTTATAATAGATGTAATGCAGAGGACAGAAACATCTGGCTCCCAATGAAATAAGAAAAACTTACCAGCATATGGTGCTGATTCATGTTTATGCCTTTGTAAATTCACCTGATTAAAACTGCTGAGAACTGGATTAATTAACCCGCCCTTTCTGCTGTCTCCTACACAAAGTGGGTGTAAAACACAGCTGTTAGACCTGGCCTTGTTTTATCCCCATACTCCTACGGTTTAAAAGGTGCCACAAAGCGCTTGCCCAGTACCTGTGTCTAGGAGAGAGGTGGTCGGAGGGACAACGTGGGGGTCCATTGGGGCCATCCCGCAAGCGTCCTGCCGGGGCCGGAGCACCAAGGAGAAGTCATGGGCGTGAGCGCGGAGCAATCCCTGAGAAAGGCAGGAACCGCAGTGCTTTGAATGAATGACCAGGGAGGCTTCGCTGTCAAGTCCTTTCGCCTCTCCTCAGTACAGATAGTTTTGCAGAGCTGCTGCTTGCCCTGGCCTGCCCTCTTGGCAGCTGAGTAGGAGTCTCAGGGCCTGGAAAGGCTCCGGCACGTGTTCCTATGGGAAGCCTCCAAGCCCTCGGTTTCCGAATGCGCTGCTTTTGGTGCCATGGTTGGAAGGGGCTGTGGCCAGTCACTCTTGTGTCCTGCTGCTCCGACACAGAGTCCCTCTAGTCTATCCGGACTCCAGGGTTCCCCAGGCCTGCGGCAGGCAGGACCTCAGGGAGACACAACAGGCAGGGAAGAAGGGCCGTGTTTAGGGGAGTGAGGTTTTTCGTGATAACCTTTGCCTATTTGGGATGTCCACATGCAGTCCCGGCGCCTCCCTGTCCCCGCCAGGCCGCAGCACGGCGGTGGCAGAGCCGTGCTGGCCCGTGCCGTGTTTGCGGCGCGTCGGGCTGTGCGCGGCGCGGGCCGGCTGCCCTCGCGCCCGGGGCTCGCCGCGTCTCCCCTGCCCGTGCCGCAGCGTGGGGCTTTGCAGGAGAGGCCAACACTAAGGGTCGACCTGGCCGAAGGCAAAGGGCATGCAATACATTGGACCTGTTGGACAACTGTGTCCCCCCTTTTCTGCTGCTAGTGACACGCACAGAGTTTGAACCAGCCCAGGAGAGCAGAGTTTAGAGTCACCGGTGCAAACTGCACCAGGTTGGGTAGTCCAGGGGATAGAGGCCAGGCAGTTCTGCCCCATGTTTGACACCAGAACTGCTGCCCAAAGGTAGGACTCCAAGCATACAGTGTATTGCATATATTGTGGTGGTTTCTTCTGACTGTGGTCACAGCCCTCTTCCTTCTGTCCTTCAGGAACGGGCAGGACCAGTAAGAAGAGCATATCCTGGTGCAACTACACTGTCCTTGACATGTGGAGCTACCAGCAATGGGCTGCTGTGCAGAGGTAAGGCTTGCTGTTCTGCAAGGTCAGTGGAGATGTTGGGCATGAGGACTTTCCATTTCCATGTCCCATTTCCACAGCTGGAACCAGGGAGCTCAGAGAGGTGAAGCAGGGGAATTTATCTAACAGTAGCAAGATGTTATCCTTGCCATGGTTGGTTATGCAGACATCATTTCTGACTTTTACATCCAATTCTGGGGATCATCCTGCAAACTACACAGGGCCTGTTCTGAAGTCATTTGCAGGAGCACCCTCGCAGTCACGGGTAGCTCCTCCGAGTGACATTGGCAACACGACATAACCGATCACAGTGCCAGATAACTGATAATCTACCACACACTGGCATCTGTATTACTTGGTCTCAACTGCTGTTACCTGATTCTGCAAACACAGTTACACGAGAGAAAAAAAAGGTATAGGTCAAATTTAATGACCAGGTTAATGACCAGGATCCTTCCTAGCTACACCAGTGACTTGGCTTAGGAAACTGGCAACTTAGTCCCCAGTTGTTATGGGTGACCTCTCTTAACAGCTTCTGTGCACACATCTCCTCTGCCCATTAACAATAGCTCCCGTTAGGGCTGTTGAGATTTGCTTGCTCACTCTCATTACATCTTTCTTCCTTTTCTCACTTGGATTTATATCTCTGAGGCCTAAACCTCCTTTCCCTCCCCCCCTTTTCTTAGCTGGATTTAAAAGTGCAAGTGTTTGTAAGCAGCTTTGATTTCTCTTTCCCTTCCTTCTATTCCCTCAAGCCTTTTTTTGTGTCCATTTCCAATGCATTTTTCAGTCAATACTTCTGTTTTTCATGTTTTATAGTAATAAAATGTGACAAATCAAATGCAGGGAAAACACCAAAGGCAGACCAGGCTCATTGACCTCAACCGTTTTTTTTTCAATGGTGATTTTTGTGCATGGGCTAGAGAATGTCTATTTACAATACGAATGGTGAATTTAATCTCAGAAGTGCTTTTTCCAGGTTTTTCTCTCTTCTATCACATTCACCCAATTCTAGAAAACCTGGATGTTGCCAGGACTTCATACAGACCTCCCAGTTTCTTTCTTCTGCTGGTCAAGGCCGGCAGCTTTCCTCCCGTTCCTGGGTCATAGATCATTTAGCAGGACAGCGAGGGGGCTGTGAAACTGTATTGCAAAAGCATGAAATATAAGACTGCATGCGAGAGAGTCGTGCTCTAAAAGCCTGTTGAGCATCTCCTTCTCCACGTGCAAGAAGGGCCTCTTCTCTTCCTCCTCTTCCTCTATGAGCCCCAGGGATGTCCTCAATGCTCTGTAAAACATGGCAATTCCCGCCCCTGCACAAAGTTTATCACTTAAAGCAATATGCACAGCAGCACTTGGTACGCTTAGTCTTGCCTTTACTTACCAAATCTCTTGCTATGAGAATTGATCAGCTCTCTGGGGCTGTGTCAGGTCCTGATGAGTTTCTAACTACCATCAACGCTAGCGCTGCCCCCCAAGGGCTGCTACTGCTTTCTGAGTAGTCATATTTTTCGCTCGGAATAGCTGGTGCTGTAATATGTACATCCAAACCTCCCTCCGGCTATTTAAGGAGGAGATCAATAGTTCTTAAAAATGCCCTAGCCCTTTTTCTTGAAAATACACTTTTTAAAGAGCTGCCATTGGCTGGAAAATATTCCCTTGCTCCTCAGTACTAGCACTGCAATATTTCTTTTATCCTTGTTTTGGAAGTATATAGGCACATAGTACTTCGTGCTTACAGAAAAGCAGAACTAAAAAAGAAAAGGAAAAAAAAAGCAAAAGAAAATCTTTAAAACAATTAATGGTCAAGTTACTCAGCATTAGGCCACCTAATCTTATTAAAAGCACTGACAAGAATGCCTCTCATTTGAACACAGATGTACTGTGTTCTCATTAATGGTGTCTAGTCACTGCTTATATAGCTTTTGTGTTTGAGAAAAAAAAAGCAAAATATATTCTCAGTTATGAGTTGGGTGAATTAAAGTCAATTTTGGTGCATCAGTGTGCAAAATTAACTTTCATCTAAAGGAAACTTACATCAAATGGAATTTAGCCTGAATAAGTAAGGCCAGGTGCTCTATTGTGACACACTCTAATAACTGATGTGCAGAAGATCCTGGAGATCCTATTTTCAAGAGAAAAATTGCCTGACTAAAAGGATAATTACTATGCTAAATATTACTTCTCTTCTTGCTTTCTGCAAACAAAGCTGCATAGCAAAGTGTTTTGATGTATAAAATGTTTCTGAATATGAGAAGAAAGAACCGAAACCTTGGTGATATGTGAGCTTCATGTTCAGTATGTGATGTGAAAGGCCTGGTGTAGACACTGCAAATTGAAATACTCAGCTAGAGGCTACCTTTCACTTTACAAAAAGCCACAGTACATTAGTCTGCTTTACAGGGGATCGTAGATGTTGTGATTTACAAGTTATGCAGTACAACAGTACGTAGTAAGGTTTGAAAGTCAAAACCCTCTTTTTTTCCCATTTTTTCCCATTCCCAAGCCTCTTTTTTTATTCCCATTTGATTTTGAACTGTCTGCATTTGCAGTTTTCCTCCCCTGACTTTCCATTTGACCTTCTTTCAGGTTCACTATTCTGCAGTGCTTACACCTGGGCTAGGAGGGTTCTGTTCTAAGGAGCTTACAGAATTCTTTCCAGCATTATTGCTGTTTCATTGGGGATGAGCTTAGATGGTAGGAGACAATTTTGGAATTACTTCTGAAGTAAGCTCAGCCCGAGGAGAAGCCGGTGACCACTCGTAAGGCAGGCACACGTGGCAGTGGATGTTAGTTACCTCTGCAGGCTGGCGAAGCCTCACAGAGGTTGGGGAAGGTTGGCAGGGTAGCGCAGTGCCAGGAGCTCCAGTACAGGAACAGTGTGCCTGACTCTGGCATACGGGTGGTGCAGGCATCACCTGTTCCCAACAGTCAGAATATCCATCCTTGGGAAGCAGAGCAGGACTGATCCCTGTAAACGTCACTAACCACAGGCTTCCCTGGAGTCACAGAGACATTCAGCACTTAGCCCCCAGATGTCACATACTTTATTTATGTGCTGACATTTCTGTTATTTATTGAAGCTTATTTGTAACTAAGTGTATCTGTGTAATATAAGCCTCTGCAATATGTTATTAAGAATTTGGATTCAGAAACAAGCCTTTCAATATGTTACGGGTAACCTTTACCTATAGTTCCTCATGCTATTGAATGTAACAGCTGGAACATGGATTAAATCATTCCCAAAACAACTCACACATCTTGCAATTGCTTGTAAACCATTTACAACACTGACTTGGAGACAGAATGGGCAGTGAATACTAGAGGTCTGTATCTGGATGAGTCTATTCCACCAGGAAAAAAAAGCCCATATGGCTGCTTGGGATTTCCATGCCTTTCTGTCTCGCTGTTGTAAATACTACTGAGCAGATTCTGGTGCTCTTGCTCAAACACGAGACAAGAGCAGTGGGAGCAGTCGGGCCCCTGTGACAGTCGCACCGACACAAGGCACGTCCAAGCAGAGAACACCCTGAAATGAATGGAGAAGCCACAGTTCACCCTGTGGATTTCAGAGCCAAAAGAGCCTTCTGCTGGTCCCTCCCCATCACACTTGCAGTCACAATACACCAGTGAAGTGTGTTGTTGCATGCTTTCCCCGGAGGGCTGTGGTGTAAGGAGTACCCTGTGGTACAGCTGACCGTCAATCTGATGCCCACAGTTTGCCAGGGCTGGAGGTACTGGACTCTAAGTGAATGGAAAGGTTGGTTTCCACTTTGTGAAAAAATCTACAAAAACTTCAACGAAATTGAGTTTGACATCCATTATCTCATAAGCAGCAATGGTTCTGTCCCACCTCTGTTTGCTGCGGGGTGAGCCATTTGTCTTGGATGATCTCGAGTTTCTGAGGTGCTCCCTTCCTTCCTTTGCCTAATGTTTCATTTGGGCAATATGCTTAATCAATGTTTGCTGATGTTCATGGTCTAATGCTTACTGACAGCAGGTGCAGGAAAAGTAAATCCCCATCTGCATAAAAATCTTGCTGAAATTCAGCCGCATGCTGTTCTGCTGTAATTTTCATAGACAGGTGATTTTTCATGGTGCCTCCAGAAGGTTCCCCCAGCTCCCTGCTGCTGCCTCTGTTTTCCTACCTGCTGCTACCCCAAGTTACGGCTTTGTTTGTAGCCCTATGTGAGGTGCCATTTGAGAGTACTTTTATTTGTTTTGTTTGATGGATGCTCCTTTGGATTCAGTTCAGGTTCAGTTCAGACATGCTTAGATGTTATGCTCCATTCTGGTAATTTGATAGTTGTTTTCATTATGGCTGGGACTATTTTCACTGGGAAAAATGGATGTCGTGACCACGTCTCTAAAGCAGACTTCAATGTGGATTTTATGTGGATTCAGGTGAGATGAGTGGGTGGTATTAGCTTTGGGGGGGAGTGTTTTGCATAGCTGTATGTTAAGGTAAGGTGAATAGATAAATGTCCAGGTGCTACTGATGAAAACTTGCATTCTAAAACAGGGACCCGTGTTTGTCAGATTGGGGACAAGAAAAAATATAACTTTTTTTATTCCTAGAAATGGATTGTGAAATTGTGTAGTTGCTTATTTTGCTAGAGTTTAAGGTCAGTGATGCTTTCCTGTATCAGCCTACTCTCAAGTCACAAACTGCTAGAGCACGTCTTAATCTTTTCCCTTTAATTATTTTGAGTAAGTTGTATTAGTGTTGCTCTTCGAGGCTTGCCAAAGATCAGAGCTGCTTTATACAATAATGTGCATAATTTTCCCTTAAAATGTTATAACCCAAAGATAAAAGAAAATAAAAAGCACAAGGTCCTAGCAATTATAAAGCAGTATTGGAATCGGGAGTAGAGGGCTTGACTCCCAGCCAAGTGCTATCTGCTGGACAATATTATCACCTAATGTTCCATTTCTTAAAATTTAACAATCTGATGTCCTTCAGGAAGGACTACGGAGAAGAAAATATAAGGAGATTGAAGAGAACAACTTAACAGGAAAGTTACATAAGGCAAATTAGTAAGCAAAGTAACATGATATTGTACCAGATGAGATATGGGAAAAATGACTATAAAGATCAGGAAAGCTGCAAAATCTGTATGTTATATGTATATAAAAAAATGCATTTCAAGATTAAATAGAACATGAGAAAGAACAGTTACTGGTTGGAGGATTTCTTTTTATTTGCTTCATTGAAAGACTGCTTCTTTAATTGCAAAACTGTATAATTGTGTAATTCCATATATAGTTTCAAAAATCTTAGAGCTATTTTATCTGATTTTCAGGTGGGAAAGCTAGCAAAATTAGATAAGCCAAGCTGCTGGTTCAAAGACATAAAACGAGAATCAGAAAATAATTAAACTGGGCCACGTGAGAATAGTCTCCAAGCAAGCTGAAGCCAACCCAGGAGGCAATCAGGCTCAGCAGCGCCTTTACAGCAAAGGCAAACTGCAATACAGTGGGGAAAAGCTCTGGGAAGCAATATATTAGGATATTGTCTATTGTGATATGCCAGGGAAGAAGGAGACTCGCTCCCACTAGGGTTGATGGGAAAGCTTCGGGGTAAAAATCAGCAAGGAGCCTAAGCGAGTGTCTTAATATCATTATTCTGCACCCGGTTCAAGGATTTGGAAGATTTCCACGAGACATGTGGGATCGAATCCCAGAAATAACATGGGCTTCACTTGTAACTTAACAGTCTTAGCATATCTTTTATTGGCAGATGGAAAGCTAAACCTGCCAAAAACGTTGCTATCATCCATTAGGTCTTTTCAGGACTCCTGTTAAAGGCAAGAAATGGAAGGGCTGCATTCCCAAGGTATTCCTCTAATGTTGTCTCAGTTGTGTGAGTGATTGTAGCTCACTTGTGCAATATTGCATGGAAGTACCTGGAATTAGATGAAATGCGAATATAAAACATTTCTTCTGCACAAGCAGTCAGAAAAGTTGAGTTAGCACGAACGCAGAGGGCGATGCTCCAGAGAGTGAAAACCATCACTACAGTGGCCAAAATTAAACAGAGATGTAGCTCTAAAAACTAAATATTGTGAAGGATATCAGGAGAAACAGATTGACGAGATAAAACTCCCCTTGAGAACTGAATAGTCTGTTGATTATCCCCCAAAGTGGGGAGGACTTTCTGACAGGAAGACAAACAAGACAACTTGCTGGAATGGATGGTTTCATCCTCACTCGTAGCCCTACAGCTGCAAGTGGGGGGGGTTGTCTCAAAGATTATTCACCTCCGAGTTCCACACAAGGGTTTTGTGCTGCTCATTTCATGTGCAAGGAATGCAGTATTTTTTCCTGCCCATGCTTATTCTGCTGTGAACCTCAGGGCTGTAGGTGCTGCTAATTATATGACACAGGTCAGAGTTTCCTGCCTCCGGCTGCTCCTGTTAAGGCAGTTGGAGGCACAAAACTCTGCAAAAAGCAAAATCAGAGAGGGAAAAAAAAGGCTTTCTCTGTCACTCTCCATGTCAGTTGGTTTTTAGTAAGTTTTAAGCATGACAACCTTGTGCAACTGAAAACACGAGCTGCACGTGGCACGCCTGAAGCTCCCGCCCCAGCATTTCCGAAGCGGCGTTTGCTGAGCGGGCCGGGCCGGAGCGCAGGGACGCGGGAGCAGCCGCCGCCAGCGGGACCTCGTGGGCTGGGGGTGTCGCTGCCCCGCGGCGCCGGCACCTGCAGCCTCCCTGCAGGCCCTGCCGCTGTGGGTGCCGGCACCACGCGCGACTCCTCCGGGAACGGCCGGCGCTTCCTTGGGGATCTCCCGCCCGCAGGGCACCGCGAGCAGCCTTCTCCAGTCAAAGGATGACAAATGGCAATAAGAAAGCAGAGGTTAGCAAAAAAAAAAGGCTTGTTTCAGTTACTTTAGCATTTTTTCCTTTTCTTCTTGGTCGGTAGTGATCTTACTGTAGTCACCTGCACTGCATGTCCTGTGCTTTGCTTGTCGCCCTGCTCAGGGGGCCTTTTGGCTCCCTCCGTTCGGGTGTGCTGAAACGTTGTTCCGCTCTGTGCTCTCGGCGCCTCAGTGAAACCCGTTTGGGGAGCTCAGCAGAATCCGTGGGTGTTGTGCCAAAGTCAATGGGCCTGAGTATTTGCTGATAGCCTGATATCCCTGCAATTGTGCTGTTTGTGCTTCTTGTCAGACCTGCAGCGGAATTGATTCCATGGATGCACACAGGAAGCAGCTTCACAGAAACAGAGTGGAGCACATAATGTTTAATTATTGCAAATCAGCCCTATCTCTCTCTCCCTTGGTTTTATATGTCTTCTTCTGTGACTTTCCCAGGAAACACTGGATGTTTAACAGGATGCAGCTGAGTTTGATGCTGGTGCTTGACTGCTTCCTAGTGCCAGCAGTGAAACTGAGGAACCTGAGTCGACTTCACAGAGCTGCTGCTGCCATAGTGGGCTGTGCGTGTGCCAGGGGAGCAGGAGGGGAGCGCAGGGAGCAGAGCAAACTGTGCAGCTGGGAATTCATCCCTTTCTAAGCACTGTCTGCTACGGGCACTGCCAGAAGCTGCAGAGTGGCAGGGGGCATTGCCTCTCACTTTGGCAATTCCTCTTTGACCCCCAAATGTTATTAATATGTGTCTGTGGTTACCATTTCTCAGCATCTAGCAGCTTTTTTACTTCTTTCATTTTGGAAGTTCCTCACTTGTCTAGAGATAATGACTGCTGTCAGTCCAAGCTCTGTGAGAAGTACAAATTGCATGTGTAGAGGCAAGATGCATGTGCCTGGTATTTTGGTTGTGATTATTTACAAATCTGAAGTCAATTCATCTTGTACCTGAGGTTTAGGTGTAAATAATTCAATAAAAGCTTGTCTGCAGATGCCTCTTGCTGAAGATGTTGCCCGAGTAGGATGACCAACACACATTGGCTTCCTCTTGGCTAGAAAACTGTCACTGAAGAAGTTGTGCACTTGGTCTTTCTGTGTCCAGGAAGAGCCACAATTTCCGTGTTCAGGTTTCAAGTATCAGTTCTTCCCTAGTCCACAGTTGCTCAGCTGTTACCATAGGTGCCTCTATGCATAGGTGCACCATAGGTGCTGGTGGCCAGGCGGGAGGCATCCTTTGGCAGCACCATGTGTGTGCACAGCGGAACTGGCCAAGCCTCAGGCTCTGGTGGCTCCCTCAAGGCTCTGCCTGGATACAGCCGGCTCCACAGGGCTCCTGGTCGAGCTGTTTGGTGCAGGACACTGGGCACACCAGACAGGAGGTTCTGCGATGACTTCTGGGCGTGCAACATGTAGCTACAGATCATTTTGTTGGTATATGGAGGACGTGACAGAGATGGATTTTAACGCCAAAATTTAAAAAAAAAAAAAAAAAAAAAGAAAAAGAGAAAAAAGAAAAGGTGATATCAATTTAGTTCTTCTTTTAGTTCCTTGCCAGTAGGAAATACAAGCGTGCACGGTTCAAGGTAGGCAGCCCCCAGTGCTTCCAGCACAGCGTCTGATCCCAGAACACCCACGTTCCAGGTGCGCATCCTGGGACTGCCGCTGCCCTTTCCGGAGCGAAGCCGCCGTTTCGCCAAGCCAGCCCTACCCCGGGAAGCAGCGAGGCTCCGCATGGAGAGGTGACGTCCCTGGGGAAGACCTGTCCACGTCTGTGTCTCCCCGTACCAGGCGGGTGGGCTGCAGAAGTGCTTACCCTGCTCTGCTGCTCCCTATGCTCTCGCTCAGAGCTTTGCAGTGATTTCTTTGACTCAGCTTGGTGCAGTTACACTTTGGTCTAAGCATCAAATCATATGAGAAGCCAAAACCTTCTACATTTGTCATGGTTCTTCAAAGTTATCTACAAGCAGTTAGTTATGCCATACAAGCTAATAAGCATTCTAGCAATCGTGGTTTTGGGGAAGTTAATTATTTTTATTTCTCGTTTCGAAGAGACTGAATAACTTTTTGTTTCTTTCTCGTTTTTCTTTTTTTCCCCCCACGTTTCTGACAGTTTAAATGCTCTTTATGGAAGCAGACAGCACACTTCCCTGCAGTAGGTAAACCAAATACCATGCTTTTCCTGAGCCTGCTGCGAATCAAATTAAGCTCTGTGTGCTGCACAGTCTAAACGAGTAACCCTAATCTTCTCAGGGTCCCTCAATCCTTTTTGGCATTGAGGTATAAAAGCACAGGGCTACAAGCGTTCTGCCCCTTTGCATGATGACAAATGTTAACCCTGGTGCAGTCTAGGCTGTGAAATGACTGGATATGCATTTTCCTTCCAGAAAGGCATGTGGGCTGGTCGTAGCAAATGCTGAAATATAGTGGTGAATAAAGGCTCTCTGCCCTCCTGCGGGTTGTTAGGCCTTCACACTAGCACTATCAAAGCACACAAATGACTTCCTAGAGCTAAAAATGACTCTTCCCAATAAAGAGGGAACTGGAAAGACATGCGCACATCTGCTCCAAAGACCGTGTAAGCCTTTGCACTGACGAGCATCCAGCACCTAAAGAATAGCTCAAAACCTATATTTCACTTGTCTCATCCCTTTGCACCGCTGGTAGGTGTCTTGCATTATACAGGATGTACACCTCAATGAACAAAAGAAGCACCATTCATACCAGTAATGCTGGTGAAATGGATAATAGCAATAGCAATAACTCAGAAAAGCCATGAAATTGCCATAAAATGTATACTTTTCTCAGCTTAAAATAGATTTTCAAACAAGAATTTCTCCACGAAGCAGCCTACCCCCCTTCTCTACAATCTCTTTTATGCACAGCATTTATTTCTGAGTGGTTTTAAACAAAGTTACTGAAAAGGGCCCTAAGATTCTTCCTGCAGGCCTAGACGTAATGAAGCAAGAATGAAGTCTGGTCACCATGTTAATCATGAAGCAGGCTGGAACGTTACGCTCTCTAATCAAGTCAGTCCTGTTCATACATCACAAACATCTGCAGAAAAAAAGATGTGTTAGTCAAAACACTTTTACAAGTTACGTCTGCTCTTGTTGAAGGAAAGTGGCATAAAATGTAAAAACCTCAATGGGAAAAGGCCATTTCTAAGATAAAAGACCTGAATGTAGCTGAAAATGCCCTTTGGTTTCCATGCTGTTCATCTGAGCTGCATTGGATGTGCGGCCGCCTTCCACTTGAGCAGGAGCCTGCCCTGAATACCGGGTGGAGAGAAGCTTGTGCTGCGAGGAGATCACAGGTTAAAGCTGAGATGGTGCCGTCCGATTTCAGGATGAAGTAACATGACAACAGTGAGTTTTCACTCTTGCTTTTCTCTTAGTCATCAGTAGTGTTAAAGTTAGTGTTAAAAACACCACTTTGATACCACCGCAACTCGTAGCCTGCAGCTGCATTAAGATTAGAAGCTCTGCCAGCTGGATCCCTCACTCCCGGCTGGCAGAGCGCTGCCTCCAGGGTGCCCCGAGGTTGTGGAGTGCTCCCAGGATTTGCTTGGGTTTTTGGAAAACGGATTGCTGAAACGGAAAGCTGGATGGCTGCTTAAGCTGCATGCCATGGTGGTTGGCTTTTATACCTTCATTTTGGTTCTCAGCCCTTCCGTGACACAAGGAATGGAGACACATAGATGGAGAGACACCCCTTGTGTCTCTGGGGAAGTGCCTGAAATTAACTCTGGGCTTTGCAGTATTTTTGCTTGACTTTGATTATTATTTTTTTTTAAAAAAAAACAAGTGTTGCCAAGAAGTAAATGTCTGGATACCAATTTCAACAGTAGAAGAAAACCCTGGATGCTGCAGACACCTTAGTCATTGGAAATAAGCAGGTTTATAGTCAATGGTTCCAAAGGGTCCCATGTCCCCTGATGGTCTAGAGAGAGTTGTGGCCCCTTGGTAAAAAGAAAGAAACAACGACCAGGAAATGGTCAACAAATGTGGCAGTTTCAGTAGATTCTCTGATTTCAGTATTTTCCTCTTTTATCTCCCTGTTCTCTCTTTTCCTTTTTTTTTTTTTTTTTCCTAAAACAAACCTCCCGTGTTATGTTTGTAATTACTTTCATGGTACAAACACAAAAACAGATGATTTTTAAGTGTACTGAGTGGCTGTATCAACATTTCTTATACAATTGTTTATGCACATACAAGATTTCTGACAAGCATTTGGCTTTCTGCCCTAGAAACAGTGCCAAAATATACTCTTCTGCACATGAATAAAGCAGACATGGGGGAAAAAATCCAATTTTGCCATGGTTTTTCTTGAACCTACTCTGTGTATTTCTGCAAGTTTGTATGAAAATTAACTGAACAGGTTTAGCTTCCATAGATACCCCAGCACTTCTCCTCCTCTTTCCGGCACATGAGGAGAGCCAGATCGAGTCCTTCAGGATTTTCCTAAAAGAGAGCTGGCTGATTCTCTCACCTTCTGCTTTGCAACACTGAGACATGTGTGAGCAAGAAAGAAATGAAGAAAATGTATAAACTTTATGCAGCTTTATGACAGCTACATATATTTATGCCATTATATGCAACATATGATAATGTTTTAAGTCTTTTTAAATGACTTAGTATTGCAGGACAGTTGAACTGTCCAGTCTTTCCAGTGAAAGAGCCTGGGCTCCTGGTCCAAGTAGAAGCTGTGGTGCCAACCCCTGGATGGCTGGAGAACGGAGACCCTGGAGCCTGGCACTCAGCTGAGAAGCACTGGCAGTGCAGAGGATAAACCACCTTCTTCCCTGAGGCACTGGCCCCCGAGGAGAGGTGTTTGTATCCATAGGGCCAACTGTCTCTCCTGGCCTTCTGCTTTTTGACCTGACACATTTAATTGAATTTCTTTCCAAAACCCTCCTTAGCCAGCTGGGTTCTGTGGCACATAGTCATAACATGATTTGTTTAAGCTTTGTGTTTTAAAAGCCATGCTGTCCTTCTTCGTGATATGATGCAGTGTACTTTGAAATCACTGATCTCGTACATACATTTTACAGTATTCAGAACTGAAGTTGGTCCAAAAAGCTATGTTATTATTCAAACTTAAATCTACAAAATACAAAAAAAGGCAAACTAGAAGCTTAGTGTGTGTTCAGATCTCTCAGTATTTATGGCTTTTAAATATTGACCTATCCCAATAACCAGAACAGCTGGTGAGTCAAAATTTAGCAACTTTCAAGTTAGGCAAACGATAACTACATATACTTGTATTTACCTAAATAAAAATCCAGATAAATATTCTGGTTCTTAAAAGGACATTTATAACATAGCAAAAAATACCGACTAAAGGAATTCCTGTGCAACTAGCAACATTGATTGTGCACGGACAACATATTTGTGTTTCGCAGGCGTGTATAAGCACTGCTGCGAGTCTGCAGTGCTTCTCACTAGCAGGACCTCGAGGTGGGTCACGATAGAGGTGCCCACGAGTGCGTCTCACCTCCTGGGGTTCCCACGGAGCCTTGTCCAGGAGTCAGAGGTGGGGATCAGCGCCGGC